TATATAATCCCGTTAAATTAACCAAGTCGTCACTAATACCTACTTATTAGACCTACCTAATCTCGTTGTCTAACTCTAATATGATTCCCGCCGCAGGGCTTCAGGGTAACGTCAATCTTGAACTGTACTTTCTCCACTTCCGACTCAACCACGAACTCCCTTATGATATACGCTAGCAATGTCTTCAATAATGACATGGCGTATCTTCTTCCTGTAAGGAATTCCATACTGTCAAGACGTCAGCGTATAAAATCATATCAGAGTAGGCTTGTAGTTCGTTCGGTTAAATGAACTAATTCGGTCTTTTAGTTCCTTAGTTCAGTGGGATCTGGGAATTGGAAGGCAATAGGAACCGTTGCGGCCTTTGATGGATACGGAATATAAATATCCGTACGAATGATTTGTACATTTAAATAGGAATGTTTTATTGTTTTCCCTCTTTACTATTTTATTATTGCCTTTATTATATTATATTTTATATTTACAAATTTTATAGTTACCAGGCTGAGATCCCAGGTTCGATTCCCGGGCCGGGAGAAATGTTTGTATGGCCTACATTTATTTCTCTCGTGAGTTTGGGTGTAGTTTGTGGTTGTCTATGTGTGTGTCCATGGCACCCGCGACACAATCCATTCCCTAGTGCGGGGCTATGTTGAGTGTGTGCGTTATTTATTATTTATTATTATTATTTTAATGACACGAGCTGGCAAAGGTTCAATCGTGCATCTCACTTGAACTTGTTGAAATTATCTCTTTCGCTTCATCGAGATGAAGCGATGGCGAGCCTGGCGTCTGTGAACTGAAAGAACTAAAAAGACAGGTGAACTAATAAGATCTCTTCGCGTCTGTGGCTCCGCAAACAGGTCCCATTCCGACTGAACTAAAAAGACAGGTGAACTAAAAAGACCGTGGCACAAGGAACTAGTTCGTTTCGGTCAGTATGAGGAACACATTCCTAATGCTTCATGAACTACTCAAGCCCATATCAGAGTCAGTATTATAAGAGCATATGCACACGGCGTATTTTATACGCGCCAATGACGCGCGTTTCACGTTTTATTTCACTGTTGTGAATCGATTCAAACGCGCGCATACATCGCGTTGCAAGCAAGAAACTTGTACACTCACTGAAGTTTACAATTAGAATTTCATACAGTGGCTTCATTTCAAAAAATAACTGAAATTAAGAAACAAAACTAAAATTCATTCATTATCTTATGAAAATTACTACGTACGCGTGACTACAGCGTGTCTGCAGCGCGTATACGCGCAGATGACGCACGTGTACAGCGCGTAAACACGCTTCATCGGCGCGTATAAAATACACCGTGCGCATAGTACTAAGGATCTTTATTTCCTTGCGTGGCAGATGATTTGAAGCATGCTTTCATCGATCAGTTAGAACTGGTTTGCGCTGGACTGGAAACCCGTGCCTTGGACAGCACAACTGGGAAGTGGGCTGTTCAAAGGCTTTTACGACATCCACGAAAAGATTCGAGGGTTTATTGAAGAAGAAAAACACTCACCAATACACGACCTCTTTCCGTAACTAAAAGCAAGTAAGCCCGCAGCATTTGATGTGGACAATCCATTCGACAGCCAGCGTTCAGGTCTGAATTGATCGGCGTCTGAGCCCCACTGCTTCTTGGATCTTCCTGCTGCCCAGATGTTCGCAATACAGCTTACACCCTTTGGGATTGTGCATGATTCTAAAAGATATTAAAATTGATATTAGTTATAACAATAACAATATAGGATATTTTGAAAACATGAAGATGTTGAAGCTCTTAAAAGTAATATACACATACAGAGTAAACAAAATATTTTAGCTGAAAAACATACTTACAATTATATGGACGTCGGGTCCGCGCTAAAAAGTGTCCGAACTTATAGGGCGTTAAAATCGTATACAGAGCGTCATTCACGCTTTAGTCTTCGTTTGTTCGACTAACAGCGAAGCAAGCAAAATTAGACAGTACTGCGATGACATTACAATTTAAATTCAACGTTTTAGCTTTTTCATATTCCTTTACATGTCACTACGTTTAAATAGGTTGACTTGGGACATTTTTTTCATGGTTTTTGTATTAGACCCGTCGTCCATTTATTTGTAAGTCAATTGTTTCAATCATAGATTTCAATTTATGGAATAGCACTTACTGATCTGTAAGTCCTTATCTGCATCCCTCGCAACGGCTGGTATAGGAGGATATAGTCTCAAGGTCTCACAGATAACAGCGTCTAGGTAATCCATACGTTGAAGATCGTCTTTCTCCATTGGACGTTTACTGTCGCCAAATATTGCTTTTAGTCTGAAATATTGTTAATTTAAATTATTATGTGAATCAATAGGTTTCGATTCGGTTTCCATATGTATACAGGCTGTCGTAGTAATTAAGAGTGGATCATATTCGGTAGATTAAACTTTTGAAATTAAGTTTGTTTCACCACCGCAATATTCATTTCTTTTTTTGTGAATTTACTCCACGAGTTTGTAAAAAAAAAATTAATTCGATCCGGCTGGTTTCGAACCAACGTCTCCTAGCAAACTGTGCCAGACGCTATGCCAACTAAGCCACGGAACGAACCTCATGGACCTCACGAATTTTTCCATTTGCTTGTTGCAAATCTTTGTGTCTTTTTGTTTTTTAACGACTTTTTCTTCGTAGCGCCATCTGTGAGAAATCTATGAAAGTTTTTCCTCACTCAGCGAGGTACCTTTACAGCTACCAGCCGCTGACTTGAGATGTCACTTTAATAATTGTAATTAAGTTTTATTTAATGTCTGTGGTGAAAAAAAGAAAAACGAAAAAAATTTTTTTTTTAAATTAACGGAATGCCCTAAACCTGTCTCTACTTATTTTTTTATGAAGTTTCATTTCTGGTTCAATAACGTGACCGACACAAACGGCTTTTGTTGTGAATAGAAAAAAACATCACAATTAGGTATTGTAACTTAGCAGCGGTAGAGGTCCTTGTGGAAGAGCTCGTCCAGGCAAGTACTGCCACCATAAATATTTCTGTCGCCAAGCAGTAATGTTAATATTAACTGTGTTTGAGTTGTGAACGGTAAGGGAGCTAGTGAATTTTTTCATAATATCAAGTGACGGGACAAACAAGTCGTCTAAGCTACTCGCCTGTCCATAACAATTGCAGTGCCACTCAAGACCTTTAAATCGCTAAGATCTGAGGGGCACTGCAACTGCGCCCATCACCCTACGACATAAGTTGACAAGCCCCATGTGCCTGCAATTTCACCAGCACCCTTACCTTACAAGCACATGGGACTTGTCAACGTAATATGTCTCAGGATGACGAGCACTATGACACTACACTTCAGATTTTTGCGATTTAAAGCTCCTGCAACTACTATACATCACTTGCTTAGTATCATGCCACGGGGACCGCAGAGCATCACAGACCCCAGGTAGGTTCCGAGTCGCTGTGTGCTGTGCGTGTGAGCATATTGTGACGCGAAGCGTGAACGCTGTTGTTACCTATGACATCATCAACCTGTACATCCGTTGCTCGTCAAGAAAATCATATACAACTTACTCAGCAAACAGTTTCTCCTGAATGCCAGGATTCGAGCCAATGATGAGTAAAGCCATAGAACTAGTGAGTGCTGCCGTTTCTTGACCACCCAGAATGATCGTGTTCACCTCATCCATGATCTGCTTCTCAGTTAATGTATGATCCACCTCATTCGTGTCAAGTAAAATGTCAAGGAACGTTTTGAATTTCGTTCTGCCGTTGTCTATAAATCACACAAATGTACTTATACACTCGAAAAGAAATTTGGTGCATTTGTAGAACATGGCTTACCTGAAGTTTCTTTACGTAAATCGACATTCTTTCTTAATTCTTCGCGTTCTTTCTTACGTGTTTTTATTATCTGAAATTTAAAGTCAAAACACTTGGGTTAATGTCAAGGTCCCAATCACGTAAAATATGGTCATCCTGTCTAGTGTCTGTAGGTTAATTTGAATTTGTTGTTACTTCTAGACCTTGAAGAGTTGGTATTGATTGTTGACGTCAATGTTAAAATCAATGTTAATGAAGAAACTTTCCCAATCCCCGGCTATGAGTGCGTGCGTCATTTATTTATTTTGTAGGTGACCCAATAAAAATACCGACCTCATAAGTTCGTAGAATTACATCTACTTATTTTCCAAGTTTTATTGAAATCGGTTACCGGAAAGTGCGCGAAACCGGATTCATCCCTTAGTTTGCCACCCTTAGAGGTGGAATTTCAAATTTAAATAGGACTGCTACTGAGATACCCTCTTTCCAACAAAAAAATAATCATCAAAATCATTGCCGGAGTTATCGCATGACGTACATACAAAAAGAAACAATCCAATTGCGAAACCTCCTCCTTATTCGAAGTCGGTTGTAAAAAACGACATTTTGGCTAAACTATTTTATTTTGTACTCACCGCATTAGCAACATTATGCAGAATAGCAATGGAAGACTGCATTTCCTTATGCGAGGTAGAGAACCGGTACAAGAAGTCTATGTGGTAAAATATGTTCTTGAGACGTTTCACCAACGATTCTAGCGTTCTATTGAAGGCGTGATAGTATCTAGCTGTTACGATACCACCTTCTGTAACAGGCACGCCCAGCGCCGTTTCTGTAAGGGACATACTTCATTGAGGTTAGGTCGTGTTGAATTAGTAATTATTACGTCGCACTGTTAATACAATACTGTATTAACTCAAAAAGTGGACTTTCTCAGATTCGATGGAAAACGAATTACTCACTTCCCGCAAAAAAACAATAAAAATTATGTATATGTTATAGTTTATTATAGACTAAGTGTCTATATCCCAAATATATTTGAAAATAAAATGGAAAAAATAATTACATATTTTTGAATAAGGATTATTTTGGCCAGAACTAGCTCACGTTTCGTTTCTGACAATATTCTACCAACGTTTTTTTTGTTGACGTGTAGAGAATCAAATTTTATGTTCAGTAATGATATAATATTAAATTTCACATATTTTGAGTTACAACACTATTGTATTAGCAATGCGACATGTCAGAATTTCCAATTTTCTAAACCCATAACCTTTTGAATTTGAAACAAAGTATAACAAATGCGTTTCTTAATTTTTTTTTATAACGCACACATCACACAATAAATAAATATCGTACACACTCATATGTCATACTCGTACTCGACACACACAATGACAATCACAAATTACACACAAACTCACAAAAGAAACAAATGCAGGTCATACAAATATTTATCTCGGCCTGGGAATCGAACTCGGGACCGGGACAGACCAAAGTGGTAACCATTCGGCCACCGAGGCAGTTAAAGAAAGATTTAACATTTTGTAAAAATATTACTTTAAGAAAAGCTCACCAAGGTCGTATGTTACATGAATTGAGTAACTCTAAAAAAGGGCATAGTTATGAATGTAACACGCAGCGCCACTAAACTGGATTAAATAGATGAATAAGTTAACCATTGCATTGTAACTCAAAAATCGACTCATCCAAAGAACAGAGTCCGATGTGATAAAGCGAAAATAGGATAAATATGTACATAACCTCGTCATGCAAAATAAGGCTAATCGATAGGCGTTTTCAGAATTTTTATATCGTATTTCGTTTCGGAAATATAAAATCGAACACTGGTCAATCTGATACCCACAGCGAAGAACAACGAACGAAATGTACAAGGTCCAATAAGCAGCCTTGCACATAGGTCTTTGTTCTACGGATGAGTCGAAATGTTATCAAACATCAAAAATATAACGGAGGTGCTCTAGGGCAATATGAAAAGTCACAAAATATCCCTCAATATCGATCCTAATAGAATCCATTACATACGACAGATAGACTCCAGTGTAGTGTATGCCAAATATTTGTCCAATACATCGAAGGGCTCGCCACCTTCCGTTTTAAGTTTCTCGACCAGTCTGGCCGCCTGCGCATTGAACAAGTCTTGATAACCTTCGACAATGTTGCTTGTGAATGTGCCTGCTAGTTTTTTAATATTTTTCTTCCATATTGAACCTTAAAATTACAAATAATATGAGTAACTTTTATACATATGCGAAATTAGCTTACCTATTTAAAATAATATCAGCGCCGAGTACTAAAAAACTGACCTCAAAAGTTTGTGAAATTACATCTATTTGCCAAGTTTTATTGAAACCGGATTCATCCTCTAGTTTGCCACCCTTAGAAGTGGAATATTTTCGTCAATATATCATCAATATTAAAGTAACCTCTTTCCAACAAAAAAAGAATCACCAAAATCGGTTCACAAATACCGAAGTTATCACGTAACATGCATACAAAAAAAACAGTCGAATTGAAAACCGGCTAAAAAGGCCGTATGTCAATCGCCAAACAATTAAACAATTACACAAAATAAATTGTCTTTATCGAGTTCTTAGGTTTTCGCGATTGTTACACATAGGAAATGAAACTATTTTTCCGCATTTAAATCGCGTTTGAAATTAAAAAACATCCTAATTTCAACAGGGAAGATGGTTTCTCCGTACCACCAGTTTGGGATCCAGTATTTCCTCTAATGAAAAATCCCAAACAGACATAATACTGCAGTACTAATTAATATGTTTTAGTTTATTCTAATTTCTATTAATAATTAATAATAAATTGAACTTAATAAAAATTCATTCGATAAAATAATTTGTAAAACTTAATATAGCGTAAATTGGAATGTTTTCTTTGTAAAATTAAAAATAAGGTATTTAATTAATAACTATTGTAACTATAGTGAAAAAATAGGGTGGTTTGCATCAATATTAGACATAACTGGTTAAAGACTGTACCACCTCAGTTAACCGTGACCATGGGACCTGTAAAGGGCCCGAAACGTCGGCTTGTTTGAAAAAACAAATATACACGATTTAAATCCGGAAAAATAGTTTCATTTCCTATAAATTGTCTTTCTTAGGTTGACGAACACAGTAAGGGCAATGTTTACATATTACCAAGTGACGAGACGAACAAGTCATCCGTGTGCACGGTATGGTAAGCGACATACCTGTCATAACAATTACAGTGCCAGTCAGAGCTTTAACTCACAAAGATTTGAGGGGCACTGCCACTGCGCCCGTTACCCTGGGACATAAGTTAACAAGTCCCAGCCTGTAACTTCACCATCACCCCTACCCTTCGAAACCGAGGTACGGTGGCAGTACTTCCCTGGACGAATTTTCACCAGGATGTCGTAGTCTTTATGCGAAACCATTCGGAAGATGACTTTGTATCCGAGAAGTAACCTTCTTTGTACAGATACCTACCAAGTTGTATCTATACTAACAGGTGTCCGCAACTTCGTCTGCGTAGATAAAGTACTTCAAGTAACCTACTATACATATCTCTCATTTGGGGTTTTTCCCATATGATTCCCTAAAACCGATCCCCTGAGGGATCCATTTTATTTCATGTTATTTTCTATTCTCAAAAATAAATATAAAAATTTTATTTCTACCTGATACTCTGGTACTCACAAGTTTAGTTTTGGTATGTCATGTGGTACGGTCAACAAGAAAATGTATTCGAGGGTTGTACCATGTTTTATTTAGTTTATTAGAAATGAACAACATTAACTATACTTTAATGATCAAGGTTTATAACCCTTTGTTATTTTCTTAAATTCCACATGAAACTGGTTTTTTGTTACTTGTGATTTGCGATATGTCAATATTAATGACTTGTCACAAAAAAAAATACTGTCTGTGATAATTATAGCATTTGATCACAATTGATAAATAAATGAATATTTGATTTCAAAACTTCTTTTTCTGTACTGACTGTATTCACCTTACAAATACAATGAGGAGACCCGTTGGGTGTCGTAAAATATAAAGGGGATCAGTTGGGATTTCAAATGGGCGGTGGATCAGTTTAGGGGATCATTTGGGAATAACCCATTTCCAGGATTTATTTTCGTGACAAAAAGTAGCCCTTTCCTAGGTCCCATCTATCTCTATACTAAAATTTGTCAAGATCAGCGGTTTGGACGTAAAAACGTAACAAACAATGTTACTTTCGCGTTTATAATATTAGTTTGAATTGGATACATAAGGTGAAATAAAACGAAAACTTACTAGGTGCAGTCACGAGGCCATATCCAACCCAAGGTTGACCGAATTTGTAATAATACGGCTTGTCTATATACGCTGTATTTACTGCTTTTATATCATCGAGATCTTTTAATACTGTAAACAGGAGAAAGAAATGAGAATTTACAAAATTTTCTAATTATATTAGTTTATGTGACTGTTACATAATGAAAGGCATTAAAACACGAATATGGGTTTTAAACAGCGCACGAGTGTTTTAATGCTTAATTAGGTATGTACAGTTAAATACGCTGCTTTTCTAAACACATAGTATAAGCTCTCTATGGTGTGTTAAAACAACAAAACAAACTAAATGGCGGCAAAATAAAAACTTTTCTCACGCACGTCACGTAGCTGTAGTTTTTTTTTTAATTCATAGACAAACAAGAGTATGCTCCAACTATTATATCGTTCGATACCAAATAACTTGTGAGATTTGTCAAAATTGTTCGTTATTGACATTTCATTTCGAATAAAACTCCGTCTCGACTGATATTAGAATTGAGGTCGAATCAAATTGTTTTGTTTTTCGGAGATGTTCGAAATTTTAATGTAACAATAAAATCGAATTTGATGTTAATACCTAGCAATAATAACATAGGTAAGAAATTTGTTCTGGTCGTAATTTGCGGTTATAGAATACATCATAGAGGGTTTATGATATGTGTATAAATAAAATTTATTGCATTATTATGTGGTACAGAAAAAGGTATTAAAGTTATTACATAATCCAACACAAATCCTCTAAGGGCACTGCAACTTATCAAACTTTATTAAGTACGTTATCTATAATTTTAAGAATAATTCCTTCGATCCGGTTGGATTCGAACCAACAATGTCTTCAGCAATAATTATATAATTTCACAAAAATAATTGAATATCATGTTTTTTATAAAATATAAGTGCGCATTTGACCTCCATCTCACCTGATGGAAAGTGACCATGAGGTCGAAGATGTAGCATGTATGCACACCTAAATAATGCCTATTCGCTCTCGTCTTGAAAAAGTTTCAGTTATAGTGTTCGAGGAACAAGTTCGCAGGCAGGGAATTCCACACCCTAGCCAAAGAACAAAAAGTAACAAGAATGCACACTCTCCGTCCCTCCCTAGCTTTACATACCGCAACACGCCCCGCACATTGACGGTCACATTGACTGAACGGCTAAAAGGCTGTCGGCGAGCCGTTATCTAAGACGCTAAGACGGCTTTGATATTTGAATATAGTTTTCATTTATTCATTACGAAACTTGTACGTATACGTACGTATTATAAATACAGATTTATTGTATCATTATAATGAGATGTAAATTAGTAGACAAGGGTTCTCGAATTTTCAATTTATATTGCATTATAATAGTGAATATAATAGATAATGATGAAGTTGGACACGCAATTTCAAATACCTTAGTTACGTTATTTAAAAGTAACTGTACAAAATATAAAATTTTAGGTGCTTTGAAAATTTTTTGTTTTTTAATAAACCTTCAGGGTTATTCTAGTATTACCTAATAAACATGTGTAATTATTAGGATTGTATTAATAGAATTATAGATAACAGATTCGTGTTAGAAGTTTCGCTATGTTGCCGCTCTGACCACGTACGAGAAAGTGATTGGTAACCCTGCCACTTCACACACACATTTGCGCGTGTGCAGATAGCGCCTTGTTGATAGTTGTACGGAGTGTCCGGGGTGTGCCTATGTGTGCCCTGGCCGCTCGCCATGTAAATGTGGAAGTGAAACGCTTCGTTCGAATCCTAGGAATGTCCACAACATAGGGGTGGAACCCCAGCCCACGTGTAGTCCCCAGATGATGGAAAGGGAAAGACGGGATCAAATTATGCAATTCCACCATAGTAGTAAAACATTGTGATATTCAACAAACTTCATGTTACGTTATCTGTTTATATATTTATCGATTTATAATAAAAAAAATCCTCTATACATTGACTTACAAATAAATGGACGACGGGTCTAATACAAAAACCACGAAAAAAATGTCCCAAGTCAACCTATTCGAAATTTAAATTGTAATGTCATCGCAGTATCGCGCTGTCAGTCGAACAAATGAAGACTAAAGCGGAGTTTGGCGCTCTGTATACGATTTTAGCGCCTTACGTGCGGACACTTTTTAGCGCGGACCCGACGTCCATATAATTGTAAGTCAATGCCTCTATATTATAAAAACAGTTCGATAATAAGAATCTTTTTAATTTAAGTATTTGATAATATTATGTTCATTTAATTATTAATACAAAGATCGAACACTCAGAAAAAATCCTTCGATCGTCGACGTCTTTTAGCATACGTCCACGACACTATATTATAGAGAATTATAACAAACTAGTAGGTAATTTCACATAAAAATAATTGAATATCAATTCAATGAAAATTTCAATACAAGGAATAGCGACATCTCTAGCCGGGGCTGGTAGCTATAAAGCTATCTAATTGGGTGACGATATATCATAGATTTCTCTAAACGGCTACGGCTAAAAAGTCGTTGAAAAACCAAATACAAAGATACAACGCAAGCACATAGAAAAATTCGTGAGGTCCGCTGGTTCGTTGCGTAACTTAGTTGGTATAGCGTCTGTCACGGTATGCTAGAAGACGCCGTCGACGTTCGAATCCGGCCGGATCGAAGGAATTTTTCCTGAGTTTTCAATCTTTGTATTAATAATTATAACAAACTAGTGGAGTAATTTCACTTAAAAATAATTGAATATCAATTCAGTAAAAATTTAAACTATATACTTTTCCATACTTTTTATTGAGAAAAGTATTTTATTATAAACTAACACACAACCCTAGTCTGGTAGTAACCGTGAGAAGAGCTCTAAAACTCAATATCATCGATAGTGCCATCGACATGGCATTGTATACTTAATACGTGGTTACCGGAAAACCAGTCACACCATGAACAAGATAAACACTTAGGCACTCGATAATAAACAGTTACAATGCAAATAATGAACTGAATGTACAAAACGTGCTAGGAGTATGCAAAATCTGTATAATTATTTCAAATTGCCGCACGGTTGGCAAGTACAATCTAATCACAAAGTGTCGATAGTACATTTACAGAGAATTAACTTTCATTTACAACCTTTAAATTAGTCGCTTATATAAGCGCCAATATTTATTATTTCAGACTAGATATTTTATGACAATAATAATAATAAGAGGCGAGAATATAAAATAGATATAATCGTAATATCACAGCTAAAAAGCTGTGAAAAATAAAGATATTAATAATAATAATATTGCATTATTTTCTCCAAAAAATACAAACGACAAATATAATAAGTATCTTAGTAATTTTCGAACAGTATTTTGTAGGAGCTGGTGCTTGCTATAAGTTTGACACCTGTGTTACAAGCACCAGACACCAACACTTGCAAATGAGACATATATTCTAAATATATATTTGTATGTGAAGGATGTAAGTGTGCGCGTACTCAACAAGTTTATTTTTTACGACGTGCCCAAGTTTCAAGTCCCACCATTTATGTTACATAAATAAACAAATTAACTATCAACACAACGTTGCAAGTGTTTTTTAACATAAAAGTCTATGCGCTTAAACGTTTTGTCAAGTTTCAAACTAAAAAGCGTTTAAATGAACGTCTAAAGATGCGCGCTTTTTTTAAAAGCTACAACATTTAAACATTTATAAAAATAAGCAGTTTTTCCCATCTTTACGATGATGTGTAATAAACCTGCATCACCAACAACCCTAGTATATACAGAGAATCATAAACGGTACAACAACAAGTCTAGCAGCAGCTGAACCCAGAATCACCAGTAAATTAAGTAGTAAATGCACATAACTTACCGAGAACGGGTTGAGGGCCAACCCATACTAAAAAGGGTTTGTCTGTCTCTTCCATTATATTTGTAATGTCGATCAACATTTGGAAGAAATCTGTAAATATAATGCAGTTTTTCAGATTTATTGAGTTACTTTTACAAACGTTCATAACGTTTCTCTATCTTCCAATGGGGTAGGCAGAGAATGGGATCTCCATTGCGCCTTGGCTTCCTCCATTTGCATCAATGTCACGTTTTATCTCATTTGGTTTTTGTTAGGCTCAAAGAACGAAAATGCTCATAGAGCGACTTTGAAATATTATAAAAATAACCAATACGCGTTGTGATTGTGACTAACTCAAAAAGTCCTCAATTCGAAATTCGCATTATGACTCTCATGATATTTCACCACTACGTTTTGTGGATATTGAGTTTAGTTTGTGTTCATACGTGAATGTCATTTCCGAATGAGAACATCCGTGCGCTAGTCAAGGCTAGTAAAATAAACATATTTTATGGTAAATTAATACATTAATGACTACAAATTAGTGTTTGATAGCTGACATAGTGCTAGTGAAAAAGTTTATAAAAAAAACGTTAAGTATGACAAATTAAGTTACACACTTTTGTTCGAATCTCACCGCACCAGTGCAACAGAACAAGATCCGTCAGTTTTTTTAAATATCAAATGTCGGGTCGTGCTAGTGAAACTACACACCTGTCCATAACAGTTACAATCCGTCTCCGAGCTTTAAATTGCAAAGCTCCGAGAGGTACCTCTGCGCCTGTCTCCCTGAGACATATGTTGACAAGTCCCATATAATATCACCAGCACCCTTACCCTTCAAAACCGGTACGCAGAAATAGGTAAGGTGGCTGTGCTTCCCAGGACGAACTCTTTCACAAGGAGCTCTATTGCTACTTAAACTATGTAGTTTGATGTGCTGGCATCTGTACATTTATCAAACCGAATATGTTGTTTGTCTGCATGAACTGCACTAGTGTTTCTGCCTTAGCGGCAATTTTACGTAGTACTTTTTCTTCTGATAAGTTTTAAGTTTTGTGAATAGAAAATTGTTCACTAAAGGGCTATATATGCAATTGACATATGCTGGCTACTTTAAAAAAAAGAGTTCTTTCGAAAACATATATAACTCAAACACATAAGGCAAAAAAAATCACTTCAAAAGTCCTTGTGGATATTTCTCGTGATTTTTTTTTTTGGTTGTTGTGAAGTTGAATATCCATCAATTTCTGGATCCCAATGTAGTAGACAAATTGATTGGAAATAGTCAACCCTACCTCCTTATTTCGTTTTGACCCACAAACCCACACATATTAGATAAATTAGATATGAGAAGCCCTTTATGAAAGAGGAGTTTGACCGATGCTTCCAAGGCCGACTACCTGACACCCACGTTGCGTCACACGTAGCAGACAATACGTGTCAATAATTAGTCTGTAGTGTTATATTTTATTGTTATCTATGTTAGTCTATATTGTACGTATTTATTAGTCAATGTAACTTGAATATAAATAAATAAAATAAAAATTTAATAGCATTGACCACTTTGGTAATCATCTTTCTAGACACTTTCCTAAGAAGAGAACCCGAGTACCCGACAATTGTGTATAAATTGATTGATGAAAAAATTGAAATAAAAACAACAGTAAATATTAATAATACATACGACCGCCATCCCCAAGGATCTGGTGCGCGTTGCCGATGAACGGTAGCGTCGGGTATTGCGGCAAGTGACCGAGCATCTTGCGCGTGCGGCGGCCCTGGAGCCACACCAGTGCGCACGCGCATAGCATCGCCACCGAGCTCAGGGTTAACCATAGATACATCTGTAAGTCCCATATTAACAATTAACGTAACTCATATTTATCTTCGAATTTTTTTAATCGAATCGAGTTTCTCAATTCGACTGCTTTTTGTTTTTTTCTGTATGTTAACTATTTATGAACCGATTTCGATGATTTTTTTATTGGAAAGAGGATACCTCAATATTGGTCCTATTTAAATTTGAAGAAAATATTCCTTATCGAAGGGTAACAAACTAGGGGATGAATCCACGCACTCTCCGGTAACCGATTTCAATAAAACTTGGCAAATAGATGTGATTCCACGAACTTTTGAGGTCTTTTTTTTAATAAAAACAGTTTCAATTACGAATTACTGTTTCTGCGTTTCTTTCTTCCGAAGGTAGAGTTGGTGTGGTTGTTTGGCACATCATTATTATTATTTATTTTTTAGAACAAAACTGTAATTTTTTTAGGAAATGAAACTATTTTTCCGGATTTAAATCGCGTATATTTGTTTTTTCAAACAAACCGACATTCAGTCAACCGTGATCATGGGACCTGAAACGATCATTTCCTATGTGTAACAATCGCGAAAACCTAAGAACTCGATATGTAATTTTTTTCGTAATTGATGCTATTTTATTGGGCTGCACAATTTTAAGTTTATAAATCTGCTTGAGTGTTTACATAAAAATTTTAAATATTACACTATTATTGTATACAATAATTTTATTATATTATAAATAAACAATAAATAAAGAAACCTGTAAGGGGCCCGAAACGTTAATAAGGCCCTTTGCAGGTTTCATGCTCATGGCTTTATGAAGTCGGTTAAATATTTAGTTCTTCGTCAATTGTGGACCGATTTTGAAAATTATTTTTTTATTCGAAAGAGTATACTCTCGAGGTGGTCCCATTATCACTCAGTCAGAATCTGATTATGGGACCCCATGGAAATCCTCAAATTATATAGACATGTACAGTGTATTCGCCGATTTCTCAGTCAATTGTGAACCGATTTTGAAAATTCTATTTTTGTTTGAAAGAGGTGCTCCTATTGTCACCAGGTCAGTCTCTGATGAGGGGATCCCTTGGAAATCGAAATCCTCAGTTATATACCCATGTACAGTACGTTCATCGATTTCTCCGTTAATTGCGGACCGATTTAGATTTTTTTTTTTTGTTTGAAAGGTTGTACTCCCGAGGTTTTTCCATTGTCACCAAGACAGAATCTAATGAGAAGATCCCATAGAAATTGAGGGAAATTCTCATATTTTATAGACACGTACAGTATGTTCATATATTTCTCAGCCAATTGTGGTCTGATTATAAAATTCCTTTTTTATTTGAAAAGGTGTACTCTCGAGGTGGTCCCATTGTCACCAAATCAGAATCTGGTGAGGGGATCTCATGGAAATCGAGGAAAATTCTCAAATTTTATAGACATGTACAGTGTGTTTGTTGAACTGTCACAACTCAAAGGTTCTCGGATAGACGTGGACGTGCAAGACAATCATCTTCATCGTAATGATATAAAGGGACGCGCAGACCCCGTACCTGATGATGGTAAGTGCTTGTAATTGTCGAAAAAGCTTGTAACAGGCCTAATTGAATAAAAATATTTGACTTTGACTTATCGCCAACTCAGCAGCATGAAAAGATGACTCTCAGGCTCAACACCTGATTGGAAATATTAAGACAATACTCGCTATGCCTTTTCGTCATTATGATCGGCGACAATCGTCTTAATCTTTCCATTTCTCGTAATGCCTTTTCATCATGTGGTCGGGTAGGTAATTTATTTAGTTTTAAATGATTAGTATGGGTACTTAACTAAACACTCCACTACTTACCAGCCTATATTTACTAAAAATTGATAAATGAATAAAATTTAAAAAATTCATACTACCTTCAAAAACCATAAAAAGTCACTACACTAAAAAGCGAAAAATAACAAAATACAGTTTTAACGCAAATGAGAACAATACACTTAATACTTTTTATTTATTTTTGTCTCACTTCGTTTTTCACGCGGTATTATAATTACTTATTGATCAATCTATCTACATTTATGGTTACTTATACAATTACAACGTGATAATCCTTGACAATAACCTATAATTTTATTAAAACACTGTTATTAGTATGTGTTACCTACTGATCGGTTTAAAAAGTTTTACTTTACCACTAAAAAAATTATTGAAACTTAAATATTTAAAACATCCTCATCTGTTATTTTTGGAATCGGTGCCAGCCAAGCCAGCCAAAAATCAAAAAAATACGTTAATGGATTCTACTACTACGTGGGGCGCACTGTAAGTTACCGGAATGAATAAGAAAAAAATACTATAAATGGTCAGAAATAAATTTATTGTTTCTCAAAATATTCTCAGTTAGCGTTAATGCACTTTTTCATACGAATGAACCAATTTCGAAACATTTATGCCACTCCTCCGTGACAATCTCTGAAACATATTTTTCATACTCTTCGACAGCCTCTTCAAGTGTTGAAAATCGTTAACGGCGTCACTGGTTCCTAATTTTTGGAAATAAATAAAAGTCACAAGGTCGGGACTGTACGCGGGATGGCTCATAAGGTCAAAGGCTGTGTGAGAAATGGCATTGTCGTGGTGCGGTGTCGAGGTCTGGCGTGGCGTTTACGGTTATTTTTACGGAGTTTGTCAATAACTTCCGGCAAACAAATGGTCGTGTACCAATCACTATTCACGGTACAATGATTCTCCAAAACAACAGTAGCCACGTGTCCAATTTTATAAAAAAAAAAGAAGCAATCATTCGCTTAGAGGCACTTTGCACGCGCGCTACTTTGGTTGGTTTCGGCTCATCTCGAAAGACCCATACGCTCGATTGCTGTTTTGTTTTATGATCGTAAGTATAAATCTATGTTTCGTCATTTGTTAGTACATCCCATACCAAATTTGACGCCCCATTGTTGAATCTGGTAAGCATGGCATTGCACCAACTGACGCGATCCGTTTTTTGAGCCTCAGTCAAATTGTGTGGGATCCTCCGAGAGCGCAGCTTTTTCACACCCAAATGTTTGTGTAGTATTGATTGTATTTGACTCATGCCTATGCCTAAAGATGCCCAAATCTCATGATATGTCACATGCCTGTCTGTTTTGATCATAAGGCGCACGGCGTCGATGTTTTTGTTGTTAACAGCAGTGGACGGGCGACCATCACGAAATTCGTCACTGAGATTCACACGACCACGTTTGAATTCTGCAAACCAGCTGAAAATAGTCGTCTTGCATGGTGCTTCATCGCCAAAAGCAGTTTGAAGCCGAGCGTTGCTCCGCTGAGCTGTTAAATTAGTCGTAAAAAGTCGTAGAAAATCATACTACGAAAATTTTCACTAGTTAAATCCATGGCGATGTAGACAACCAATTTCTAAAATGACGCCACAATGTAAAAACAAGTGACTGTCAGATGAAACAAACTGTATTCTACAGCCAAAGAGTTCCATTTTCAAATGTTATAATTACTTTTTAAATATTGTTTATGTAAGTGGCCAGTTCCGGAAACTTATAATGGGCCCTATGTATACAGTACAATTTCCACTACATTTTAAAATAGTTGTAAAAAAAAAACAAAAGTTGGAAAAGCATGTTTTATAATAGTATTAGTTAAATATTATTATTTACAAAATAATCAAACTTCTAACGTTGTGTTACAACACAACCAATCTTATTATAGTGATATATAGCATAGATTTCGTATTATCCATTACATCATGAGGTATATTTATTATTATTTGCAGATAGGAAAGCGTTTGACCAATAGAAATATCAGACTCACCCTGCAACACGTGCGTCGAGAATCGACTACCGCTAGGCTTGATCTATGTGCCTATTATATGATGCTCCCGCGCCGCTGCCGTTGTTATACTCTAAAACACTTATGAAGTACAGTCATCAACAATTGCTATTTAATATGATCTTAGTATTATAATATCCCGTCACGTATCATAACAACAACACGGCTTCTTCCGAGGCAGAAGTGTTGATACTGGTGAAATTACAGGCACATGGGACTTGTGAACTTAAGTAAGAATAGTTAATTACATTATGTATTATTGACCAACTCTATTAGTCTTAAGAACAGAATGCATAACAATGTAGTGAGAAAGCGTTGTGGTATTAAAGATGATGTAGGGACTTGGTAGAGAGGGAAATGCTTCAATGGTTTGAGCATGTAGAAAGAATGAATGTTGGTAGATTGACGGCATAAATTTATAGAACGAATGTGGATGGATGCCGTGGAAAGAGGGAGACCTCCGGCGTACATATCTCAATCAGATTAGGGATGTCCTTAAAAAAGGTCATGTTAAAAGTACCAAGAACAAAACGGACATGTATGAAGAGGCTGATGTTAGTGAAGGAGACGAAGGAGGTTTATCAGGAGCGTAGCAGGTGGAGATCCATAGTTTCTGCAAACCCCGTGAACAGTTAGCAAAAAGTTATGATGTATGACCACCTCTACCACCAGATAAATCGGTTTAGGAAATAATTATTTAATAAAGATCGAACGCTTAGAAAAAATTCACTTCGGTCCGGTTGGATTCGAACCAATGTCCAAACGCTACGCCAACTAAGCCACGGAATGAACCAACGGACCTCAAGAATTTTTTCACGTGTTTGTTCCGTAGCTTAGTTGGTATATCATCTATTTAACAAACTAGTGAAGTGATTATACAAAAATAATTTAATATCATGATGGTGAAACATTTATTAAAAACATAATTGCAATTTGGAAAATGAACTCAGAGTTATCCAGGCATATAACATAATATAACAAATATTACAGTATATTAATGTAATGAAAAGAACATTCCAAATACAAGAACGCAAGCAGAGCGTAAAGAAAAAATATGTCATCATATGTTGAGAAAATTCGGTAGATAATAAATGTATTTCTACAAGGACAATATTAATATTGTTTCACCTGTAAAGGAGAACAGTCAAATTTGCCTCAGTTTCGATGCAAAAAAC